TTGGAGACTCCTTCTCACCAGACAATGAAATCGATCGAGTTTTCTTGTTCCCGTTGTTAATTCTCTTGGTCCAGTCTGACTTGGCACACGGTAAGTTGTCAATGCGTAGCTGTCAACTAGAGTGTGGACTCAGAACACGAGGACAGTCTTCATCATCCATCACCTTGAATACCCAGACCAGTGCTGGCAGACAGCGGGGACCCAATACATGCTAGTTGGGACACGCTTTTTTGGAATACAATTTTAATAAGGATTGAACGTGAAATGTAAGTAAAGAATCTCAAAATGAGGGCTAAAAAGTCTGATGCATGAATCAAAAGTCCATAAATTTTAGTTCTGGGTGGTCCAAGTGTGGAGCCAAGTTATTTTGAAATTAAAAGCTGGCATTAAAACAGTGAGGTGTGGTGGCATATACTGTCATCCCAGCAACTCAAGAGGCTGAGGCAGGAAGATCTCAAGTTTGAGGCCAGCCTAGGCAATTTAGGGGGACCCTGTCTTGAAATAAAAACTAAGAAGCACTGGGGTCATAGCTCAGTGTAGGGCATATTTGGGTTCAATCTCCAGTACCACTTAAGGGGTTAAAACATATGTGCATACTGGCAGGGGAAAGGAGATGAATTTTACCTTTCAATCATGTTAATAAGTCTCAGAATATTAAGATTCTGCTTCTCCTTTCCTTGATCCCCACAATGGGCAAAGTCTCTTAATAGTATGAAGCTTGCGAACAATAAGGAATCCCAAAGGAAAAGCCATGTGGGTGTTTGTAGCTCCTAGTCACATTCCTGTCATTATCCTTTGATGTCTTTCTTGTCTGTTTCTTGAAATGACACAGATTATTCTGAGCTGTCTTTGAGCTCAGTCATCCTTTGCTCTCAGAAGACCAGACAGGAGCCAGATGAGAAAGAGCTAGAGATGCTTTGTCAGCTTCTTACTGTTCAGGCCACCAGGCAGATAGAGAGGACAGCCGGTCCCTCTGAGATCAAACTCCAGAAACTGCCGCACTGGTACATTTTGTGCTCACAACAATTGAACTGGTTTAACAACTGCCTGACCCTGGGATTGCTGGCCTGGAGCCCAGGTTTGGTCTTCTTATCTGTCTAACAGGAACCTACAATACAAAAGTCTCTTCTGGGCCACTTGAGGCCTAGTAAGGGAATATTTTCTTTCTTTCTTTTTTTTTTTATCTTAAAGGCCCAGCTGCTCATGAGAAGATCTAGCCAAAGCCAAGTGGAGATGGAGGCGTTGCCTCTGAGTCCTTTTTGACGCAGGTTTGGATGAAGGCTCACACACATGTCCACATTCGTCCCTTGATCCAGTGGCTCTCAGCCTGGCTGCCCAACAAGACCTTGGCAATGCTCTCAATTGCCCAAGTGGGAGCCAAGAGCACACGCAGCAGCTCCCTGGGGGAAGACCATGGGCAGTGGTACACAACTGATGCTGAAAATGACCTGCCTGCATAACATGAAGGGTCCACTTCATGCTTGGGACATAACCCTGGCTACTCTGCCACTGCAGCTTATTTTAAAATGGACATGGGGGGCTGTAGTTGTGGCTCAGCAGTAGAGTGCTCACCTAGCATGTGCAAGGCCCTGGGTTCGATCCTTAGCACCACATAAAAATAAAATAAAGATTTTTTTTAAAAAATGGACATGGTTTTCTTTCCTTTCTCTTTCCTCTCTCCCTGTCCCTAATCTTAGGGGAAACAAAATTACCCTTCTTCCCATCCTAGACCAAGTTATCTGTCCTTGAACAAACACATACCACAGGAATGAAGTCATTTAGATTTTAGGAATGTCACCGGAAGATCTAAGAAATGACCATCTCTCAGAGTCCTATGTAGGTTTCGGCCCCTGACACACCTGGAATTAGGCTTTGAATCACCTCTGGAAAAGCCCTCCGCCCCCCCATGACAGAAAGAATCACAGCATCTGGGACAGGAGTCCCTTGTGCTTCCTCCTTTGCTAGCAAAGCAATGAAACTTCTTTTTCGTTTTTCTCAAAACCACGTCCTCATTATTGGATTGGCATCCAGGATAAGGACACCCCAGCAAAGTCCACTTTAGAGGAGTTTAAAAGATTCCAAATGATTGGACCCAGAGGAGAGGGGAGACTGTGACTTTAGGTTTCTTCTTCATTTGTAACCAGATCAAGAATGAATGTGGCCCTGTGCTAGAGGAGGAGAACTTTCTATTTGACATCACAATCAGGAGGTGTGGGTTCTGGTGCTGCTGTGTTCTTTGAGCTTCCATATTCTCATCTTTAAAATGGAGATTAAAATATCTCCTTTGGGTGGGGTGGTGGCTCAGTGGTAGAGCACTTGCCTAGCATGAGTGAGGCACTGGGTTCTATTCTCAGCACTGACTATAAATAAACAAAATAAAGTCCATTGACAACTAAAAAAACATTTAAAAAAAAAAATCTCCTTTGGCCAGCTGCTGTGGTGCCCACCTGTAATCCCAGCAATTTGGGAGACCATGACAGGAGGATTGCAAGTTCAAAGCCAGCCTCAGCAATTTAGCAAGGCCCTAAGCAACTTAGCAAGATCTGTCTCTAAAATATAAATAAAAGGCTGGGGATGTGGCTCAGTGATTAAGTGACCCTGAGTTCAATCCCCAGTACAAAAAAAAATAATTAATTAATTAATTACATTTAATATCTGCTTTGCATGGGTTTTTTTGGGGGGATAATAGGTGGAAACTATTTTGTATGTCATAGATATTCAAATGTTAGTATTATTATTATTAATAAGCAGTTATCATTAATGTATTAGTTATTAATACAGGCATTATTATTTAGGCCCCCTTTCTCTTCTCCTCTGTACCTGTAAGCCCTTCCCCCTGTAAGCAGGCAAGTTTAGCTGTGAAGCCTTTAAATGGCATTATTTTAACCCTGGGTTCCTTCTGGGTTAGATATTTAGTTCTGGGGCCTGTATTTGGACAATTGAAAGGTGTATTTCCTGAAATGCTCCATGGGAGTACACAGTTGTAACTTCCCTGTGAAGTGTTCAGAGGTCCCCTTGTAAGACGAAGGTACTAGAAGGTGCTAGATGTGTGGTCTGAGATCACATAGAAGTTGGAACTTTTCCAAGCTTAATAGTATAACTAACCTTAATTAAAAGCTTAGAATCTGCTTGGAATTGTGCTAAGTCTTTTACACACATTATTTCATTTAATCCTCTCAGCAATCCTGTGAAACAGGTACTTATAATAATAGTGATTTTTCACAGGAAGACACTAAGGCTCAGAGAGTTGGCTTACTCAAGGTCAAGTGAAGAACTGGGATATAAACCTCTATCTACCTAATGTTAAAGACTTGGCTCTTTTTAAATTTTTTGATTGGTTTGTCGATTGATTTTTTAACAGATGATCTTGCTTGTTGCCCAACTTGGTCTTGAATTCCTGGGCTCAAACCATCCTCCTTCCTTGGCCTCCCAAGCAGCTGGAACTGCATGTGCACATCACCAGTCTCAGCTTGCTCTTTTTTTTTTTTTAAAGATGGCTTTAAGGGGATATAATTCATATATTAAAAAGCTCAACCATTTGAAATGTACAATTCAATGGCTTTTACGAGGTAGAGTTCACAACCCTCCCATAATTAATTTTTAAACTTTATCATCACCCCCCAAAAGAAACTATCCAACTGATGATGGATAAATAAAATGCAACATATTCATAATATGACATATTAAACCACATTTCAATAAAAAAGAAATAAAGTATTAATACAGTGTAAAAACTGATGATACTGCCGGATGTGGTGGTGCATGCCTGTAATCCAGTGGCTCAGGAGGTTGAGGCAGGAGGATTGTGAGTTCAAAGCCAGCCTCAGCAACAGCAAAGTGCTAAGCAGCTCAGTGAAACTCTGTCTCTAAATAAAATATAAAACAGGGCTGGAGATGTGGCTCAGTGGCTGAGTGCCTCTGAGTTCAATCCCTGGTACCACCCCCCTACCACCAAAAAAAACAAACAAACAAACAAACAAAAAAAACCCTGATGATACCAAGTTGAATCCATTATTGTCAGTGAATCTAGACAAAATTAGGTGAGAAAGTTATGAGGGAAACAGCATGTGCCTGCCTATCTGATAAGTGCATTCTCAATGACTTTCTAGAGACCTCAGAGAAATTTCTTCAGTGTAACATGTACACATGAACCCTATATTTTGCATACCTCACATGTATGCACAGATTTTCTATAACAAAGTTTATTTTTTTATTTATTCATACTGGGGATTGAACCCAGGGGTGCTTAAAGACTGAGCCACATCCCCAGCCCTTTTTTTATATTTTGTTTACAGAGAAGTTTTCCCTGAGTTGCTTAGGGCCTTGCTAAATTGCTCAGCCTGGCTTTGAACTCTCCATTCTCCTGCCTTAGCCTCCCAAGCCACTGGGATTATAGGCATGCACCACCATACCCTGATAACAAAGTTTATTTTTAAACACTCTTGTGAGGGGGGTATCTCCGAGTTGAACCACATCCCCAGGACTTTCTATTTTTCATTTTGAGACTGACCTTGTGTAAGGGTAAAAGAAATTGAAGTTAAAGTGTAAAAGTTAAAGTATAAAAGACCGGGCACTGTAAAGTTTCTAAGCTGCAAGGCCTGAGTTAAAATGTAAAGGACCAGGTATTGTTAAGTTCCTATGCTACATGTAAAATCTGAAATTCCTGTAGCTGTTAAGACAATACTTGGAACCGCCCAGTAAATATTTCCCCTGACCGCCTGGTTGTTTAATAACTTAGGACTCTGTGTGACCTTGCACGTAGACATCGCAGGGCCTGAACCAATCAGTTTGAATGTGTACCCTGCTTTAGAACTGACCTATCACCCCTGCCCGACCTGTTCCTGCCAATGAATGTACTAATCATGTCTCAGAATTGTTGTTTGATTTTCCCGCGGTGTATGATGATTTGTTAAAGGAGACTGTGATGTATGTAAAGTCCTGCCCTCCCCAAAAAGTGTACTTAAGCATTGCTCAACCCCTGCTCTGGGCTCTGGGCTGCTCTCCCTTCTTGAGTGAGCACGGAGCCCCAGCGCGCTGGAATGGATCCCCAATAAATCCCCTTCTGCAATTGCATGAGTCAGTGTCTTGGTGGTCTCTTCCTCCGACGCTTCGCCGGACCCTTACGCTTGAACTTTCAAGACCCTGCCTCAGCCTCCCAAGTCACTGAGATTACAGGTATGCACAATGCCCTACTATCTTTATCATTCTTTAAGATTACAGTAATCCAAAATGCTCTTGACAGAACACGCCCTGCAAGGCCCCTCCACCAATGAACTGATGTCAGTTCCTGACCCAGCCTTCCAGGACTAATGAACTTTGTATCTAAGTTGCTTATATAAATCTCTCTCTCTCTCTCTCTCTCTCTCTCTTTAATTTTTTTTTAGTTGTAGATGGACACAATACCTTTACTTTATTTGTTTATTTATTTATTTTTTAGAGAGAGAGAATTTTAATATTTATTTTTTTAGTTTTTCGGCAGACACAACATCTTTATATGTGGTGCTGAGGATCAAACCCGGGCCGCACGCATGGCAGGCGAGTGCACTACCGCTTGAGCCACTTTTGTTTATTTTTATGTGGGGGGGATTGAACCTGCCGCAGTCTGGCTGGGCACAAATCACTGAGGCGCCACAAAGCACTTGTATGTTCAAACAGGAAGCATTATTGCCCAAATTCCACCAGCACTCCACGCACACTCCCCAGGAACTCTCCCAGCTCTCCACCAGGCTCCGCCCCAACTCTCTGGGAACCGAAACTCAACAGGAACTCCAAAGTAGCAGGCGCCCAGGCAGCAAGAGCCGCCCTATTGCCCTATTGACAGCAAAGGTCTAATATACAACTGAATACACAATTTAACTAACCATCATCATCTCAATGGCTCCCTGGTGTCACCTTTCAACCATTCCCTCTGGCAAAATGCCAGGCATCATTCCAACTCGGCTGTGGCCCTCAACATGAACCCAGTGCCTCACGCATGCTAGACAAGCACTTTACCACTGAGCCACAACCGCATCCCTAAATCTCTCTTTTCGGTATTAAAAACTTTCCCTGCTTCAACCTCTTTGGATGCACCCATAGTTAACAATGGCATGTGTGTCCCATTTCAATGCTCTGTCATTCTCATATAAATATCATCATGCTTTGAAGACTCTCTCTGTGATTGTTATTCAGGTTGACACATGCTTCAACATATCTGTTTTTTGATTTTGCTGTTTGTGCTTTTGCAATCATATCTAAGAAACCAATGCCTACTCCAAGGTCATGAAAACGTAAGCTTATGTCTTCTCTTTAATTTTTGCACTTCCATTTAGGTCTTGAAGCTTTTCCTCTTAACTTTGCTCCTTTACTTTGTTATTTGGGAATAAAGACACAAACACATCATAACCCACAGATTAGGGAGGAATATGAAATGCCAGAGTAATTGGAATTTTGACTTATCTCTGGTCTTTCATAATCTGTGTGTTCTCCTGCTGCAGCTCTCCTTGTAATTAAGAATCAAATCACTTGGTCACGTCCTGAAAAATCTTGGTTTGTCAAAGTACCATAACTTCCCATGTCTGTGACCCTAGTTTGGGTCCTCATCTCATCTATAGGCTGTTTTGATAATCTTCTAAGTAGGCCAAGTTCCTCTCTCAAAAAACTTACTGGATTTTGTTGAAAACGAGTTGCTTATTAACTTGTTAGTGTATGAACTTTGCTAGAACAAGAACCATGTCTTTTTTTCTTTCTTTTTTGGTACAAGGAATTGAACCCAAGGGCACTTAACTACCAAGCCACATCCCCAGATAGTTTTTGTTGTTGTTGTTTGTTTGTTTTAATTTACAGACAGTGAAAGGATAAAAGAAATTGAAATTAAAATGTAAAGGACCAGGTTTTGTAAAGTTTCTAAGCTGCACTCAGAACCTGAAATTCCTGTGGCAGTTAAAACAATTCCCGGAACTGCCCATTAGATGTGTGTTGAAATCTCCCCTGACCACCTAGTTGCTTAACCACCCCCTCCCCGAGACCATGCAGTTCAGCATGTATACACCTTAGGGCTTAAACCAATCAGTTTGAATGTATACCCCTCCTTAGGACTGACCTATCACCCCCGCCCAACCTGTTCCCTCCAGTGAATGTACTAATCATGTTTAAGAGTTGTTATTTGATTTTCCCGTGGTGTACAGTGATTTGCTAAGGGAGGCTACGATGTATGTAGAGTCCCTGCCCTCTCCAAAGAATGTATATAAACTCTGCTTAAGTTGTTCTCGGGGCTCTTTGTTTTCTGCTCTTCTGAAGTGAGCTCTGAGCCCCAGCATGCTGGACCCCCAATAAACCCTTTGCTGTTGCATGAGACGGTCTCTTGGTGGTCTTTCCCTCCGACGTTCGCCCGACCTTTTCAACAGGTCTGTCTCACTGAGTTGCTAGGGCCTCTCTAAGTCGCTGAGGCTGGCTTTGAACTTGCAATCCTCCTGCCTCAGCCTCCTGAGCTGCTGAGATTATAGGCATCCACCATTGGTACCACGGATTATGGCTTTCTTTTTCACATTGTGCCCTTGGTGCTTGACATTGTGCTCAGTATATATAGTAGGTGTTCTTACAAAATATTGTGGAAAGGAAGACTGCATGGTCTCTTGACCTCTCAACTCCCAGCCTGGATCAAACCCATTTTTCAGACTACTGCTAGATTAATCCAAATCCAAATTACTCCATTTCACTCCCTTGCTTTAAAAACCCTCAAGGACTCCCCATGTGTAAACATCCAAATTTTAACTTGAAATTCTGTACTTTATCTGGCTTTCTAAAAGGCCTAGATCTTTCCTCCTCCTCCTCCTCCTCCTCCTCCTCCTCCTCCTCCTCCTCCTCCTTATTTTCTTTTTGGTACTGGGGGATTGAACTCAGGGGCACTCAACCACTGAGCCATATCCCCAGCCCTATTTTGTATTTTATTTAGAGACAGAGTCTCACTGAGTTGCTAAGTGCCTCGCCATTGCTGAAGCTGGTTTTGAACTTGTGATCTTCCTGACTCAACTTCCCAAGCCACCTGTGCCCAACTTAAAAGGCCTAGATCTTAACCTGCCATTCAAGCCAGGGCTCCTTGTAGCCCTCACAGTCTCCCTTCACTTGACTTCTCAGTAATCACAAGACATCTTTGGAGGTGGTCAAGTCTTGGATGAAATCTTGTCACTGCCACTTACTGTTTGACTCTGAATCACAGTTGCTTAAACGGTATAATCCACAGTATTCTCAACTGTAAAATGGGCGTGCTAATATTAACTTTACAAAGATACTTGCAGAGGTTACAAATAACATATTTAAGTTTCTGGAATATTGTAGGGACTTGCTGTTATCATGAGAGTGGTCATTTCCTCTTGTTATGGGTCCTTCATGTTTAGTAAATAAAAATAGAGAACACCTACTTCAATCTGAATTTTAATCTACAAATAATTTTTTAGTGTAAATATCCAAACTTTAACTGGAAATTCTGTATTTTATCTGGCAAGACAGAGTCTCAAATACACCCCAGTCCATACACATGAGTTTGAGGCTTCTTCGAAGGTCTGGCTCAAAGATCACCCCTCTCACAGGGCCTTCTGGCCTCCGCACATAGTTACACTTGCTTCTTCCCGTTCCCTCCCCAAGTGCAAGGAGAAGACCAACCAACCACGTGTCTTCCCGTGTGCTTCCTTCCACTCTGAAGATGTAGTCCCCGTGTCTCATCCACCCTTGAGCTTGGAAGCTCCCAGAGCACCCAGGCATAGCGGCAATGTCATCCCCTCTCTGCTTTCAGGAGGTGCCCATTAGATATTTGTTAAATGACAAAATAAGACTCGATCATCCTAAATCAGAGCTACTTTCTATTTCCATTTTCAGACTGTATTTTTCCCCCTCAAATATCCTGGGATGCACAGCACATGAGAATCACAGGCAAATTATATGGCTTTTAAGAGACTTAACCTGAAATCTTTCAATTTAGGAGAAAAGGAAGAAATGTTTATCCTTTTCCTTCTCTGGCCAAAGAAATGAGAGTTTATTAAGAAGGAAAAAGAAAAGATTCAGCCTCGACAACCACTGGCTACAAAATCCAATCATTATTATAGCTTTAAATGAGACCATCTCCATGTGACCCAACCTAGCTTTTCTTGCATGCACAGGCAGACAGAAGTGTCTCAGCATCTGTTTGAGTAGCTTTGTACTGGAAAGCAGAAAAATGAAATCTCCCAGGCACTGTTTGCCAGGGGATTTGCTCTCCTTCTTTGTCTGTTCCAATTAATCGTAGAGTGGCTGGAAGCTGCCCATTTTGTCTCTGGGTTCAGGCAAAAGGGAGAAATCTTCCAAAATAGCCTCCGAGATGGCTGGGCTCCCTGAGACAGGATTTAGGGGCGGACAAAGGAACCATGTGGGCACTTTATGAAGGGTGTCTGGACTGGGTGCCCTGTCATGTGGAAGGCATCTGCTCCTGCCATTTGCACATCTTACGGTAATCCTCTATTGATCGCTGCCTCGCTTGCCTTCCTGCCCACTTACGCATCCCTCCCCGCAGTGCCCTCTGATGTTCAGCCCCTCTTCTCCTGCTCTAATTCAATGGCTTCTAATTGGATGCTCTGCCTGGCTAATGGCTTCTACCCAACTGCAGGGCTGACATTTACTTCCTTGATTTCCACCCCTCCCTCTGCTCTCTGGCCTCCTTTGTGAGCAGAGCTTAAATTAGGTAGGATTCAGATCTGGCACCTTTTTATAATTCAGCTTGGGCCTCTTGTTTTTTGGATAGGGAGGGGGTGCCGAGCAGAGGAGAGCCTTGGAAATATATCCTGAGCTGATCAATCCTGACCCCTGCAGATAAGCCCGGCTTTGTGACTTTATCTGTGACACAGAATCCCAGCTGACTCTGGGCCACTTTTCCTTTGTTTGCTTTTTAACCTGGACCCCAGCCTGCTAATTTCAGCTGGAACTAACTTTGTCACGGAATATCAGGCTCTGCCCATAGAGCTACTGCTTGTTTTCATCATTGCAAAGGTTCTGGGCTGAGCATTAGGCGGCCTCACCCCCAGGATTTCATGTAGGGAACTGATCTAGGCCTGCAATTACCTTAGTGGCTCAGTTGTCACAATCTCAACACATCTTCTCTTCTCTATCCCTGGATATGAATATCTTTGGGAAGAGGAAAGTGATCCTGAAAGAATTTCACGTTTGAAGTGTCTTCATCAAACATCTTGACATTTGCCACTTTTATTTTTTTATTTCTATTTTTTATTTTTGGTACTGGAGATTGAACCTAGAGGTGCTTAACCCCTGAGCCATGTCCTTAGCCCTTTTTAAATTGTATTTATTTATTTTTATTTTGGGGGGGGTACCAGGGATTGAACTCTGAGGCACTCAACCACTGAGCCACATCCCCAGCCCCATTTTGTATTTTATTTAGAGACAGGGTCTCACTGAGTTGCTTAGTGTCTTGCTTTTGCTGAGGCTGGCTTTGAACTCTCAATCCTCCTGCCTCAGCCTCCTGAGCTGCTGGGATCACAGGCGTGTGCCACCACACCCAGCTCCTTTTTTTTATTTTTGAGACAAGTTCTCGATAAGTTGCTCAGGGTCTCACTAAGTTGCTGAGGCTGACCTCAAACTTTGCATCCTCAGGCCTCTGCATCCCATGTTGCTGGGATGACAGGCATGAGCCTTGGCACCAGCCTCTTACCCAATCTTGGAACCTCCAATGAAACTGGAAAGAAGAGCCAGTAGCCCCACAGGTTTTCTTAGAATGAACAGACCTAAAGTGAGCTTGAAATAATTCTCAGGTACGGATTATGGAATTTATCTATTTACTGACATTGCCCCATAGAACAAACAGAAGCAAACAGAAAGCCTCCCCTTTGTTTGGGCCATTTGGCAGCAAAGCTCCAATCTCTAGCCTCCTCCGGGCAGCTGTCATTCAGGCTGGCTGTTAGCTCACGGTTTATCCTCCATCTGCAGGGATCACTTTTACTTGATTCTTAATTATATTCTACTCCAGTCCCCGCACGCGCATGCACACACACACACACACACACACACTCTTCCTTAATTGGATTGGAGCGATCTCTTTCAGGCATTTCTAATGTGGTACACAGCTCATCCCTGGGCTGTTCTGATGGGCGGTTGTCTCCCTGGGCCAGCGCTTCATTAGGAGTGACAGCCTGCAGCCAATGGTCACCATGCTACCCTGTTCAGGGACCAAGGTGCAGCTTAGTAGGAAGTCGGGGAGACAAAGGGATGGTTGTGGTGGAGACATAATAGTGATAAAATGGCTACCGGAGGAGACGGAGGAAGCGCAGCCGAGTGCAGTTCACTTTCTTATATCAGGTTATGAAATTAGGAGCTGGGTTAGCACAGGCAACTCAGTTACCCGGGTGCTGCCTCTGCAGCTGACAGATTGATGTTCGAGCCTCAGGAAACATCCAGAATATCTGGATCTCTATAGGAGGCCCATTACCTACAAAATCAATATGGCCTGCACATAAACACCTCCTCCCTCAGCCTCCTCCTCCGCTTCCAGCACTCACTTCCCTTTTCCTCTCTTCCTAGGCAGAGGGCCAGGGATTTCAAAGGCAATGAATGTTTCCTATGTGGTAGATACTCACAGCTGATTTATCTGCTTATGCAAACTCATATTCTTTTAAATTGGGACATAGTGGTGGGGGTAAAGCTCAGGGGTAGAGCACTTGCCTAGCCCTGGGTTTGAATCTCAGCATTGCCCCAAAAAAGAGAGGGGGGTAATTTGCATATAATAAAATGCATTGTTTGGTGGGTAACCACCCCTCTGTCAAGTATAATTGCATAATTAATCCTCATATTTAATCTCCATGAGAGACTGGCATAACTGGCTTAATTCTATAGCTGAGGAAATGAAGGATCAGAAGGATTAACCACGGTAATAAAAATGGCCAACATGCTGAGCGCAGCCCTGCTCTTAAGTTCCTTACCATGTCACCTTGTTTCATCCTCCACGCCACCTCATTAGCCCCATTTTTCAGATGAAGAGACTTTCCCAAGGTCACACAGTTGAGTAGTTGGAGTAGAATTTCTGGCACTCAGTTTACATTCTTTCCCCACCAGTAACTTCTTGAAGAAGAAAAAGATTCTCCATGGTTAGATTTTTTTTTTTTTTGCTCCAAAAAGAAAATACCCCTAAATGGAGCTTAAAGTCCAAAAAAAAAGAAGCCTTGGTGGCCCCTGCCTGTGATCCCAGAGATTCAGGCAGGAGGCAGGAGGATTGCAAGGTGCACTTGGGCAACTAAGTGATACTCTATCGTAAAATAAAAAGCACTGGGGGTGTCGAGAAGAACACCCCCGGATTCAATCCCCAGCATCAGGGGTGGGGGGACTGGGAATGTAGCTCAGTGGTAGAGCATCTTTGGATTCAATCCCCTGCATGGTGTTGGGGATACGGTGGGAAGACACCGCATGTCCCACATCTATGTTAGCCCTTGCCCACTTTCTCAAACCCCAGGGCAGCCTGTTCTAACTTCCTGTCTAGAAAAGTGGCTAAAATGCTGGCCTCCTGGTCTAAGAAACTCCTGCCTGCAACAAAGTGGGGCGCAGCTCAACCTGGTGAAACACGCCACTTCATTGAATGAAACCAGCTTTGCAATCAGTGCTGAGCTTTTACTGGGGAACTGCTCACCCTCTCTGAATTGCTGATGACCCATCTAGGCACAGAAAAGCAAAGATATGGGTGGCTATTTGGAACCCTAATACAAAAAGCTTAACCCACAGCCCCACCCTGGAGGGAGGGAGATTGGCCGCCATTGAATGAGGCTTGAGATGGACATTTGCCCCTGGCACAAATGGGCAGCCTTGCAACGGACAGCCCCCTTTTCTCTTCCCTCCATTCTCTCTCATCTGCCAGAGGAGTCCAGCTCCCTAAATCTTCTTTTTGTTGGTTAGTTTCCATGGCAGTTATTGTCTGTGTGTGAGCGCATCCGCCCCCTCACCCTCTCCTCACAGAGCAGGCCCTTGCAGCTGAGACTCAGAGGGAGAGGCGCCCGCCCCGAGACAAGCCGAGGCGCTGGGCTCTGCTGGCCAGCTGAGGTCCTCCTGGTGGGGGACACAGCTCCGGGTGCTCAGGGACCCCCCCAGGCTTCAGAGCATTTGGGGGAGGCTGGCTGCATGCCCCCCACATAGGGACCTGGCTGTTTCCCAGTTCATCAGCCCAGACAGATGCAGTGGGCTCATCAGTCCTGGAGGAAGCCCTTGGGACCGCAGGGGACGTTGCCGACACTGCCCCCAGGAGCCAGTCTCTGAGCCAACACCTGCCAGACCCTCTCCAGCCTCCCCCCTCCTTTGTCTTTTGCAGATGATCACCCGCTGTCCTTTGCTCCCTGGTCAGGTAAGCTTTATTTCAATCTAACTATGCAGAGGGACGTCTTGGCCCCCCGAGGGCCTGCTGGGGGAATGGTTTTAGTGAGAGGAGGGTGGCCCAAGCCAGACGGGCTGGCACAAGGGAAGGCAGGAACAGGGTCTTCCAGGGGCCTCTCCTGCTCGGTAAACCTGTCTGGCTTTGAAGTTAAAGGTTCCTTCCCATCTGGTTTTAAACCAGCTAATTAAGTTCAAAGATCACTGCCCAAGCCACAGACTGACCTTCAGACAGCCAATACCTGAACTTCTGGCTTCTGGTCCCATTCAGCTCAACTTAAGGAGTATGTACTATGTAGCAGTTGTGCTTGGCTCTGAATGGGTTGTGCTTGGCAAGAATGACTCATCACATGGTTCCCATACCTTCAAAATGCTTACCATCTGGTAAGAAAAATAGAATACCTACATAGATGGGTGTGCAGACTCTGGGGCCAGGCAAACTGGGTTTCACACCTCCGTTCTGGCTGTGTGACCTTGGGCAAGTCGTTGGCCCTGAGTCTCAGTTTCTGCATCCGTAAAATGGCAGTAATAATAGTATCTACTTTATAGGCTCAATTATACACACACCCAAAACTTAGGTCAGCTCATGCCACAAATCAGCATGGCATACTTCTTAACTATGCTCACTATTATTCTTGGGTTCTTATGAGGTTCAAATTATGTAAAAGATGTAAGGAATTGGGCCTGGTGCTCCACATATCCGTGGTGGTTATTATCATGCAAGGCCACTGCAGTTATTATCCCACGTGCACAGTTACAGATCGGTTCCATAGAAGACGGGGACGGTTGCTCTTGTCTGTAGGTATCCTGCCAGCCTGGAGAAGGTAGCACCCAGGCTGAGCACCAGAGGAAGCAAAGCTTTTCGACAAGTAAGGATGAGGGCAGGAGACACAGAGCACAAAAGAATTGGAAAGTATCATGGTCACCTGGAGCCCAGGCACGGGGCTGGACTTTGGGCTCCCAGCATTTTTGAAAACAGGGTCACTTTTAGGGCAGAACACTGTGAATACTAGCACAAACATGCCAGCACAGGGACAAGAGGAAGATGGCACTCAAGAGAGCCAGACTGGGAGCCTGAGATCAGAGCTAGGTTCTGGCTGAGCTTTAGGTTGAACTGGGTGCTCTGGGACTATTTCTCACCTCTTTGAGTTTGTTTTTTCCTTTATGCAGGGGAAACAATACAACCTGACTTATCTCCTAGCTTTAACTACAATTATTAAAATACTACATTTGAATCTGGCGCAGTGGCATATACCCGCAAATCCCAGTGACCCAGGAGACTGAGACAGGAGGATCCCACATTGAAGGCCAGCTGGGCAACTTAGTGAGACGCTATCTCAAAATAAAAATGTGAAGAATTTGGGGTGTAGCTCAGTGGTTAAGTGTCCTAGTTTCCCTGGGACGAGAGGGACTGCATGTGAATATGAAATTATAAATCGTTTTGTAAAATGCCAAGTACTATTCTTCAAGATCAAGGAGAATTAGTGCATTGTCTACACACCATTGGGGGAAATTCGAAGGAATAAACCATTTAACAGGGAGACTCTTATAAATCGTTTAGAGCAATGTCTGACTCATAGCAGTAGCTGAATGAATGATCTCTCCCATAACTGATTAATTGACTCCCTTTATTCATGCATGCATTCATACACCCAGTGTTCCTGGAGTCCCCACTGAATGCCAGGCACTAGACCCAGTGATAGGAAAGAGCGGTGAATAAGACAGGCGGAGCCCTGCCCCGAAACACTTATCAGCAATTTGAGAAACTGCCAACCTGAGGACCTCCGGTGCCCTGCCCTAACTGCTTCTACCCCGCTGACCACTCTCCAGTGTTCCTCAAGGATTATTGCTGTTAGACATTGATTGATTTTAGTTGATGTTCAGCTCCCAAGACGTGCCCCTGGTCCTGGCATAGATCTTGCAAACACCTCCTCTCTGCCCTCTGGTGATGGGGAGTTGTAAGCGCTTTGCAGTAAACAGCTCAAAATTCATTACTCATAAATACCAAGCTTTCCGCTGCCTTCCACCACCCCGGAGATGAACTGAAGTGCCTTAATATTTAAAGAGAAATGAATTTGTAATTAGCACCTTAGCGTTGTATCAGAGCCATTCCGGAGGTTTTCTATTTAAATGCAAATTGAATCTTCCCAAAGGAAAGTTGGTAAGTGATGAAAATAGATAGCAAAGGATGAGGAAGCAGGAAGGAGGAGGGAGGTGGCACTGATGTGCAGTTGTCACTTTTACCCACAGCCCCACCCTGGAGGGAGGGAGATCTGCCGCCATTGAATGAGGCTTGAGATGGACATTTGCCCCTGTCACCACTGTTGATTCACTGCCTGTGACCCACACTTCCCTCACCTGAGGACCAGTCTCTGAGGCTAAGAAAGCCTGAGGTGAGGCCTGGGTCCCTAAAACCTAAGCCCCGATTTCCCTATCTGTTGATGGCAATGCCCAAACCAGCAGCCATGGGAGCTGCTGGAGATCATTTTAGAATCATGGCATCCTGAGCTGGGTGTGGTGGTGCATGCCCATAATCCCTGCAACTCACAACTCAGGAGGCTGAGGCAGGAGAATCACAAGTTCAAGGTTAGCCCAGCAATTTAGCAAGACCCTGTCTGAAAATAGGGTCCAGGGATGTAGCTCAGGGGTAGAGCATCCCTGGGTTCCCATCAGTACAAAAAAAAAAAAAATCATGGTAGCCTGAAAAACATATGAGAATTGAAGTCAGGCCAAACTGGGTCTGAATCTAGGATCATCTTCTTTTGGCGGGTACTGGGGTTGAACTCAGGGCTGCTAAGCACTTGATCTACCACTGAGCTACATCTCAGCCCCAGGATCCTCTTTTGACATCTGTAGGAAGTAGCTGAGCTCCTGATCTCCTTCGGTGCCTTTGCAATGGAAATGAAGCTACTAGTGCTCATTCCCCTTGAGATTGTTGGGGAGATTGTGTGATGAGCAGAGAAAAGGTGCCTGGCACACAGTAAGTACTCCACAACTGTTAGTTCCCCTCCATTGTCCCCAGATCCTGCTGTGTCAACATGACACAGTATGTGTGGCACAAGTGGTCAAGAAAAGGGTGTCATCCTCTTGTTACCTTAAAATAGCCAACGGTGGGTAGAAGGCATAAACATGGTCTATAAAAGGCCAGATAGTAAGTATTGCATGCTGTGTGGGCCACACGGTGCTGCGACTACTCTACACCAACGGGAAGGCCACACGGACGACACGTGAGCGAGGGAGGCTGCGTTCCTAGAGACTTTATTTATAGACACTGAGAAGTGAGTTTCACAGCATATTCTTGTATCCTGACGTATTTTCCCCCAGCCATTTAAAGATGGAAGGGCCATTCTAAGATGACACAGGTCATATAAAACCAGGCAGTGGGCCGGATTGGGTCATAGAGTCATTATCAACCTCTGTGCTAGGGGAGTACTGTGCCTATAATTTGGAAGAACCTGTTCTGAGGAACCTTGCAGGCTGCAGGGAAAGGATGGCACCTAATAAAAAATAAATAACTAGCCCTTTTTGGACCAGAACTCGGGAGGAACAAAGGACACAGAGGATTGCTGGTGGTGGTTCCTCCTGGGGCGCCAGCCATTAGGTCATGGAATGAATAGGGGTTACTCTGCTCCTTACCAGGTGATGCCCAGGGAAGGCCTGGTGACTCCTGGGCAATATTCAGGAAGCCACATTCTGTTGATAACAGGCTACAGATGGGTTCCTAAGGGCTCAGGCCCTGCTTCTCTTTCCTCAACCAAGGTAGCCATGCAGGTTCCCTGGGTTCCTCAAACCTCAACTCCACACCTGCCAGGTCTGGGAGTGGCTGTCAATGATAAGAAGACCTTGAGACACCCCCCAACACACAGCTTGGCCTGGTTCTCACCTTTCTGGTCTCTCATCTCTTAGACCTACACAACCCTCTCGCAGCCATCCATTACACCTCCCCTCCTCCTCTCTGTCCATAGCACAGAGGTGACGCAGGTCAGCACACCAGAGGGCAACCTGGCTGCCACAGCAGATTGCCCATCTCCCATTGGAGTGGGCTTCAAAGCAGGGTGCTGGATGCTGCTACTCTCCAACCACCCACTCCCCTCAACATGACTCTGCTTGGTCCTTCTTTGGGACTCTGGGGAGGAGGGGGTGTGTGTGTGTGTGTGTGTGTGTGTGTGTGTTGTGTAATGTGAAGCACTTAAGGGAAAGGATCTTGTTCCCCAGATAAAGTAGTTTTGCTCAGAAGAAGAGAGCATACAGACCCCTCCAGGCGGACAGACAGGAGGGAGAGCTCGACCTACCTCTCTGGTGCCCATGTAGGATGATGGGCTCTTGGAGGATAATAGAGGCTTGGGGTGAGGAACGAGACTGCCCCAAGGCCAAGACTAGAAGAGGCAGAAGAGGGCTAGAGCCTCCAAGGGTAACTGTTCTCATTTCCTGGCTCCTTAGAGGGCCCAGGCTGAGTGTCATCTCACACCAGTCCAATCTGTGGGCCCCCATTATTTCCTTCCCAGCCCCATAAAGTTCCCAGAGAGTTGGCTGTCAACTCTCCTCCTCTTAAAGTGAGTAGCAATGAACAAACTGAAGCCCAATATATGGTGCCCATCTGGAAATAAGAGGCAGTTCCAGCAAGTGGCCTCTGTGTCTTCTGAGTGGACACACCAGCCTTGTAACCTGAGTTTTGTTCCCCAGATAAAGTAATTTTGCTCAGAAGATGAACCCCAGTGAGAGGTGAGCAGGCCAGACTTTTGGTTAGGCCTTGATTCCAAAACAGGCCTGATCTGGACTCGCATAGTTGAGCTCCATGGAGCTGGGCTGTGGGTTTGTGGCCCCGCTCACTCTGAGACTGCCCCCTCCTCCGGTATGCACAGTATACACACACACACACACACACACACACACCATCCATGACAGGCAGACTGGCCCATCTGCCAATCAATCTTCCTTGTTGATTTCCCCAGCCGGAAGCAGCAGGGTTGGTGTGTAAATCATTCAGGGCCCTCTTTCAGCTCTGCCAGACACAGAGCTCTTTTTAATTAAGAAGAATGGAGGACATTGCTGGCTCTGGAAATGGCAATATTAACAGCATTTAAAGAGCTATGTTTGAGTGGGCCGTCCCACCCCCAGCCATCCTGCCTGCAGCCTCTGCTGCTCTGCAGAGCTGCCTGGATCCCAGGGAAGCCTCTGCTGCTCTCCGAGCTAGAAGGGAGAAGGATAAGGCCCCCTAGTGGCCCCAGCGCCCAGTCAGGCCCTTGCCTGATGAGCTGGGACAAATGGGCACATTTTCCTTCTAAGAGAAAAGGCTAGATTGCCATGTGATTTGAGTCCTTGAGTCCTCTGCCTACTGTGCCAACAGCTGTGGGAGACAAGAGGCACCCCAGAAATGTCAAACCCCAACAGGAAGCATGATTAGACTTCCAGATGGGTACCGAAGGTCTAATGCAGGCAGCCCGTTAACCACGGCTGCAGCTACCACAAGACTCCCCTTATCCTGGGCTGACTGGAGGGAAATGTGTGTAGTGGCAGCACCAGGACCAGGGGAAAGCCCCTGGCCAAGCCCCCTCTAGTGACTGCACCCTGGGTAGCTGTCAATGCTTGTGAGAGCACTTGGGGTCAGGTCAGTATGAATTCTTAGTTCCTAGAAGAATGTGAAGATGTCCATTCTAGAATATTCTGCTTTGTGACTATGGCCAGACAATTCTGTCTCTGGGAGTAAACATGGGATGCTGATCCTAGGAGACACCCCCAGCTGCTCTCTTCATCAAGTTCCTTCCAACACTGCAGATATTGAACGAATAGGACGCGCCCAGGGTGACACTGCTGGGTTATGACAAACATGGGCTAGAGCAGAGGTCTCCTGACTCTCCGCCCTGTGTCCATCCTAGTTCTAGTATCTCGCAGAGGTGACAGTAAAGGAAGTGATGCCATGGCCTCCCACCTCACTTCACACTGTTTTTTAAGTTTCTGACGCAGCTGATCAGGAAATTCTTCCTTGTTTCTAACCTGGTCCCCAAGCTTTGTATGAGCCAGGTTTTCTCTATAATTTTCTCGTGAAGTACAGGGCAGAAGCCGAAGTCTTTCAGAGAGTCCCCTTCCCACTGTCAATTTTATTGTGTGCACTAAGTAGCCAGAGTGTGCAGCTTTTCCAACCCTTTATTTCCCAAATTGGGCAGCTTCTGAGTCTGAAAACCAAGGGGACCCCTTTCCCCACTCCATCACCCCTTACCTCAATCCCATTTCACCTAAATCAGTGAGCAATAGGCAATTGCTCACAGATAGAGACAGTTCTTAACTGAAATCCATTAAGTCCCCCTATGATACAATACCTGTGCATAGGCAGGGAAGGAGCAGAGAAGGTTCTTGAAGGAATGGGCTAACTCAACTCTCTAATAAAGGCTGCTGGTCAGGAGGGGGAGCCCTAATAGCACAGCCATTCTGCTGGATTCCACCCCTGGGGCAGCTGTCCCACCAGAACAGCTTATGCAGATGCAGATTATGGCTCTGACCTGCAGCTGTGCCACACTATCTCCCATCAAGTGCCCTTGAACCCTAAATCCTTTTTCTGGGCTGATGTTTGTTCTGGGCAAGAGAAGCCCATAAGGGGGCTTGTCCAGGCTTGAGGGGAGGACCCACCCCTTCCCCTGGACAGCTCCAGGGCTCCCTGGATCCTAATTGGAGTCGTCATCTTTCTTCCCATCCCTGCATACATCCAGGCTTTTGATTAGGAATGAGGTAATTATCCAGATGTTCTGCACATCAGACTACAAGTTAGGCTGCAGTGGAAGAGATCTCAGTTAGCAGGAGGGAACATATCCTGGGAAGGCTGCCTAATTTGTAAAATTGGCTCCTACTCCTTAGAGCACACTGGCTCCAATAGGCAGCAAGTTGGAGGTACAGAAACTTGCCATCCCAAGGGGAAGAAAGAAAACCAACCTTTTGGGAGTACCTAGGATGTACCCAGGAGCTCTGCAGGGCATTGCCTTCCTCCCACTCTGCAGAAAGAAGATTTTTTTTTTTAATTTCCTTGTTGCAGACTAGGAAACTGACTCAGGGACAGAAGTAAGTAACTTGTTCATGGTCACAGAAGGGGCGAAGCCAGGATTTAGACTGAGTCTAATTCCAAAGTCCACGAAATTTCCCACTACCTTATAATATGCAGGGCACTGCAGAAAGACAACCATAGAGAAGGTGGTTTTGGCTTGGACACTTACCCCAGTGTCCCTCTAGCCAGCATGGCACCTTGCAGGGGCACTCAGGAGGTGCTTACTGACAAGGGTCAGGCCTATTTCTAGGGAGGGAGAAGGAGATTCTGTGGTAACTAATACTTAACTCCTCTTTCTCCCATCCTCTCAAATGTGTCCTCTTCTTGGCCCTCCAAACCCACCCTCAGATGCTCCATCAATAGGCTGCAGGGAGAAGCTGCCTCTGTGTTTTCCGCACTCCAGCTTCCCCATAACCTACCTCAGGACTCATGAAGACAGGATCCTGCTGAATACCTAACAGCTGCTCCATAGACACTGAGTAAAGATTCATTTTATTGTATGTAAATCAGACCTCAACAAATTCAAGATATGACTAAAAAAAAAAAACTGTGACTTTCTGGAGCTGAGCATGTCCAAGTTGGATTGATGCGTCAATATCACAGTAATAAGCAGGGCGTGCTTGCACACACCTGTACTCCAAGTGACTTGGGAGGCTGAGGCAGGAGGATCATGAATTAAAAGCCAGTCTCAACAACTTAGCAAGGTCCTAAGCAACTTAGAGACTCTGTCTCAAAATAAAAAAATGGAAAAAAAAGGGCTGGGGATGTGGCTCGGTTGTTAAGTGGTACCAAAAATAAATAAACAAATATATATATGTGTGTGTATGTGTACATATATGTATATTCCATTGATCCCAAGGATTCTCTACCACTGAGCTACATCCCCAGCCCCTTTTTAAATTACTTTTTTTAAGACAGGATCTCACTAAGCTGCTGAGGCTGACTTTGAACTTGTGATCATCCTGCCTCAGCCTCTCTGAGCAGCGGGGATTATAGGTGTGTGCCACCAAACCCAATTCCAAAGTCCCTAATCTTTAGGGACTTTTTTGATCTTTCTTTTCCTATGTAGCCCCTCTTTCCTTCCTCACCCTCTTCCCCTCCCACCACAGTAAAAAGTCCAATACTTTCCTTGTTTGTTTTTGGTGTTTTGTTTTAGGGCTCATGCACGCTAAGCACACAGTCTACCACTCAGCTACGCTTCCAGCCCCATCAAACATTTTTTGGGGGGGTCTGGGGGGAGACTGGGCATTGAATCTAGGGGTGCTTAACCACTGAGCTATATCCCAGCCCTCCTTTCTTTTTTTAAAATATTTTTTAGTTATACATGGACACAATATCTTTATTTTGTTTGTTCATTTTTTATGTGGTGCTGAGGATCGAACGCAGTGCCTCACATGTGCGAGGTAAGCATTCTGCCACTGAACCACAACCCCTACCCGCCCCCCTTTCTTTTTAAATTTTTTATATTGAGACAGGACCTCACTAAGTTGCTGAGGCTGGCTTTGAACTTGCAATCCTCCTGCCTCAGCCTTCCGAGTCTCCGGGATTACAGGTGTGCACCACCACACCCAGCCCCATCAAACACTTTTCAAGGAACAAGAGAAACTCAGGCCTGGTACTACACAAGATCTTAGAGCAAGAAGGATGCAAATTTGGATGAGGAAGAACTTCCTAATTGGGAAGGTGGTTATACACTGGAATGGGATGGTGAGAGAACAAAGGGACCACTGGTCTCCCCTTCTGCTTAGCACTCCTGAAGGCCACAGCTTGGTTCACTCAGCCCCGGCATGGAAACTGCAGGTGACTCAGGGAATCTTAAGTGGTGGTTGCTAGGTTACAAGCTTCTTTAATGTGCACTCAATGTAAGTACTAAAGGATGTCACCTGGCTAGGAGGACGAGCCATGGGGGAAGTGTTGGGGGAGGTGGAAACAAGCCAAGACTTCCAGAATAGACAATTAGGCCATGGCCTAGAAGTCTCCCTGTCCTTAGTACTTTTCCAAAGGCCCAAGTCTCTAGACCCCATGGTCTGTGTAGTGGGCAGTGCCTGTAGGATATGAACATTAGTCGAGAATGGGAACCTGTCCAGGGGCTGATCTAGGTGCTTCCCTAGCTGTGTCACCCAGTACAGACAGTACAGTACAGGCAGTGGCTAGAATCCCCTTGGGGGTCTGGGCTCCTTCCTTCTCTGCAGTTGGACAAAAGTCCAGGAGCCAGATGAGAGTGGAAAAACCATTTTCCTTTAATAATGCACATTTTTTTTTCATTTGTGGTTTAACTGTGATAAAGTGGACAGGCACTGGATTTGAATTTACAACCTAGCCCACCCCTAATGATTTGCATTGTCATAAATAAGCCACTTCACTAAGTCTCAGAGTCCTCATCTGTAAAGTGTGGATACTGAAACCTGCTCTAGCAGCCTCTCCCAGGGTTGTTTCAAGATTGTGAGAAAGTAGATGGCTGATGGCTTAGCTTATCTCTTTGAGTGACATAAATATAAAGTATGGAAGTCTGTATATCTACTTGTTAATCTGTTCCAGCTGTGTGGAGATACAAGAAGCCTGGCCTCACTAATTGTGCAGAAGGCTCAGCGGACCAGCAAGGCTGAACACAGACCCCCAAAAAAGCCCCTTTGAGAAGGACCTGTGGCTTTCAGCCTTCCTGGTCACCCCAGGCTGATTTTGTAAAGAATGGTCAGGTTGAGGTAAGGGGTTTGTTCCCTATTCCTTTGGGTAGACTAGGAAAGGGAGGAAGGAAATGTTTGATGATTCCTAGAAAACTTCATTAATTCAGAAGGTATAAATTTTTCATTTAATTTTTAGGTGTAGTTGGACACAATGCCTTTATTTTACTTATTTTTATGTGGTGCTGAGGATCAAATCCAGGGCCTTGCACATGCTAGGCAAGTGCTCTACTGCTGAGCTACACACCCCCCCAGAAGGTATAAATTCTTATTGAACAGAAAAAACAGAACACAATCTTCTTCTGGAGAAGGTCTAAGGGTGTTCATTTTATTAAGTACGAGAATTTAAATTTTAAAAATAGTGGAATTGTTAAGAGTTCAAAATACTCTTGTGTTGATATTTTCATTTCAAGAAGTCATAGAAACAGTAATGATATTAATAGAAATTTACTAGGTAGGCCCTTTGATGTGTCTAGAGGTATAGTGAACACTTCCTAAATGTTATCTTATTTAATCTTCACAAAAACCTGCAAGGATACAGCCATACAATGAAATGCTACAAAGAAACAGAAAAGAATGAACTATATTGATGCATTCAACAACTGGCATGGATCTCCAGGGAGTTACATATGTAATGGTACATATGTCCCATTCTATTTGTATAATATTCTTGAAATGACAAGTTTATGGAAATGGAGAGCAGATTTCTTTCTAGTTACCAGGGACTGGGGAAGTGGGAGGCAAGTAGGTCTGGCATAAAAGGATGATATGAGGGATCCTTTTGGTGACGGAAATATTCTGTACCTTCACTGGTCAATTTCAATCGCCTGGTTGTGGTAATGTCATACTATAGTGTTTTGAGTTTCAAATGAGGGAAACTGGGTAAAGAGTCTTTTTTCTAACAACCAAATGTGAAAGTATAATTATTTCAAAATAAAAAGTCTAACTGAGAATATATGTAAGGAAACCAAGACTCAGAGTAGTTCAAAACTTTCAGAGCCAGGATTCCATCCCAGGTCCATCAGGCTCCCAAGCCTGGGTGTTTGGAAATACAGCTGTACTGGAGGTAAACATAACAGTCCACCAGACCTGGTGGTCCACTGTGTAATTGGCACCTTTATGGCTGGAGACCATAGTCCTGAAAAGTGTATTTGAGAGGTTTGAAAGGATTACCTGTACAGCTCTGTGGGTTTGTTCCAAGGACCAAGATATGATAATCAGGTTTCCCCTTTCTGTGACGTGGGTGTGTCCCAGGTGCTATATGAGAGAAAGACAGAAAGGGACCTCCAGTGTGTGTGCCTATGTTGGTGTCTCTGGTGCTGTGTCGCCTATCTGTGCATTTGTCAGTTGCTCTGTAGATCGTGGATGTGTCCATTTCGGGGAGGGCAATGCGTAGTTATGTATATGCGTGCAGGTTGTGTTCAGATGTACCTGTGTTAGATCTTCGTGTCACTCCCACGGAATTTGTTTCCATGAGGTTAAACCATATGCTAATACCTCCCCCAAAGCAAAGCCAGCCTGTCACGAACTGGGTCTGTGTACTGTAGACAAACTGGGTAATTGGACTCTCCGCCTCCTCATCCAAAACAAACACTCGCAAATGCCCGCCCCCTCGCTGGAGGGAGTCTGGTCCTGTCATCTTGGTACATGGCTCTAGCCCCCCCGTCGTCCCCCCCCCCCCCCCCCGCTTCCCTTGGCCCTGTAGACCAGGTGAGCGCCTCGGGCCGCCAGAGCCCTTCCCTCCCCCGCCGCCCGGCGCAGGCTGGGCTTATGTAAAGAGGCCGGGGCTCGCTCCGCCGCTGCGCGCGATTCCTGCACAGGTGTGGCGCCTGCGGGTGAAGCTGCGAGCCGAGCCGGCTCGCCGGCCTCCTCCCCGCCCGCAGCTCCGCTGCTCCTTCCTGCAGCTCATTTGTTCTCGTCTGCTTGTGCGACAGCGGCGTGCGGACTGGGGAAGGACAGAGCGCCCTCTCCCCCGTTCCCCGCGCCGCCGGGCTGGGGCTCCGGGCGCCCGGGGGATGCACTGTCTACTCGCCGCCGCGCTGCTCCGGCCTGGCAGTGTAAGTGGCGCGGGGGTGTGAGCACCGAGATGGCCAGGCGGGAGGCTTCTACGCTGACGGATGTCACTCCTTCCTTCCCAGGGGTGGTCCAGCGCCGGGAACCCTTGAGAGCCCCGGAACCTGCGCGCGCTCAGGCGGATTCCCAGACGCGCGGGGACGGGGGCAGGGGGACAAAGCAGGGTGGGGCGGGGTGCCACTGTGTCTCCCTTTAAAGTTGGCGAGAAGCTGTGGAGGTCGCCCTTGCGCCCGCCAGCCGCAAGGGCGTGTGGCCCCAGCTGCCCTTGATTTGCCCGATTCCTCCCGCAGGACCAGGCTTGGACGCCACCGGACCGCTGAGAATTGAGGGACGGTGAGGTGCTGACCGGCGTCGGGCTGGAGCAAGCCAGCGAGATGGAGGCGGCAAGAGGGGACAGGCAAGAGGGATCAGGCGCGGAGTAGTCCGCAAATCCCGGGCTTGAACTTCCTTTAGCGCTGCGCTGGGACGGGGCGGGCAGGGTCCCCGGGGCTGCTATGGAGGTGCCTAATGTCAAGGACTTTCAGTGGAAGCGCCTGGCGCCACTTCCTAGCCGCCGGGTCTACTGCTCCCTGCTGGAGACCGGGGGACAAGTCTATGCCATCGGGGGATGTGATGACAATGGTGTCCCTATGGACTGCTTTGAGGTCTACTCCCCTGAGGCCGACCAGTGGACCGCCCTGCCCCCTCTGCCCACAGCCCGGGCAGGGGTGGCAGTCATCGCCCTGGGGAAGCGGATCATGGTGATCGGGGGTGTGGGCACCAATCAGCTGCCCCTGAAGGTCGTGGAGATGTACAATATTGATGAGGGCAAGTGGAAGAAGAGGAGCATGCTGCGTGAGGCTGCCATGGGCATTTCTGTCACAGCAAAAGGCAAGTGAGGCCAGGGCTGAGGGTGGGTGGATTGAAGAGAGTAGGGGGCCTGGGGAAATGGAGAGAAACCAACACTGATTTGGGAATGCACGATCACATTCCTGATTCCACTTCACGTTATTGATCCTCACAGTGGACGTCAAAATAGGAGATCCACTGCCCTTATTTACAAATGGGAAAAATGAGGCTCAGCAAGTGTCTAGGAATTCCAACTGATGGCAAAAGTCCACTTTGGCAGCTTCCTCCCAACAAGCGGGACAGGCCTCTGCCAGAGGGGAGAGTCAAAGTGTAGTCTGTGGGGTTAGGTGCATTGTCCCCGCAGACATTCAGCTAAATTACCATCCCTCCCACTGGCCACACTCCTTGCCCTGAAACCTGCCCTACCTGTCACTACCTCTAAATTCCTATTTGGGGTGCTGAGGATGTTCACTCCGTCCTTGCACCATCACCAAAGCCCCACTAGGGGCCCTTGGGACTGATTCAAGGATTTTTTTCTCCCCTTCCCTTCTGTCTCCCAGTCTCAGCGGTGCCAAGTAGAGACCAGAATGTCCCTGAGGGTTGTGTTCTCCAAGTTCACCAAGTTTTCAAGCATGCACATGCTGACTATATGGTTCTAAGATTCTCATTTCACTTTCTCAAAGTCCCTTGTTTTGTTCCTTTTTGGCCTACTATAGCTCAGAGCATGGGGTGGGAGCAGAGTCCAAAAGCTCTTTTGCTAAAACACAGAGTTTTAGAAGAAATGGTCAAATAAGGAGTTAGGAGATTCCAAATTCATACACACGTGCGTGGGCAGCATAGGCATGCAGAGGGATGTGAAATCCACCCCCACCACCAGGCACTACCCCTGCCTCCCTTGCTTAAACCACCCCACCTGCCTGTGAGGCCCACCATAGGTCAGAAACCACTATTTCCTTAAAACCTGCCCAGTCCCTGGCACAGTCGTAGGCCTCAGGATGGAAGGTGGAAGGAAAGAGACGGAAGATCTGGTCCCTGCCTTCAGAAGCTGAGGTCTGACACACTGAAGGTACCAGGGTATAGCTCTAGCCCAGAGTCCCCTAGGATGGGGTGGCTAGTGGGGTTTCTATGACATCCCAGTAAAGATAATGGAAGATACCGAGGTCCATGGGGAACCCAAAGGGGGGAAAGAGTACCCTTCATTCCCTGTCCTCAATAAACTGCTGAAAGGTTAAGAAATAACATTTACCACTGATGTTTTATCCACTTTTGATCCTCACAACCTGTCCAAGGAGGTAAGTGCTATTTTTATCCTTAGTTGCTTATTTATTTTTGCTGTGCTAGGGATCAAACCCAGGACTTTATGTATGGTAGGTAAGCATCTACCACTGAGTTACATCCTCAGACCTTCATCCTCGTTTTAGAGAGGAGCAGTGTGAGGTCCAGAAAGGTTAAGTCACTGGCCCAAGTTTTCACAGCTAGTAGGTGATGTCATGTCTCTGGCATTGAATGGATTCAGCAGTTAAGAAGCATTTACATGCATGGGTGTCAGGCACTGTAACAGATTCTGGGACTACAGATTAACAGATTCTCAAGGACCTACAGTCTATTGGAAGAACAAAGATCCAAAGATGATTTCAGTGATATATGGCAAGGAGGGTGATGGAGGCACTAAGTGGTGCCCTCAGCCCAGCCTTGCAATTCAAGAGACCCAGGTGAATCTGAAAGGAGGAGTCAGAATTGAAAACAGAATGGTGGGAGTATGGAATGAATGGGAGGATTCCCAAGAGGAGGAGTTTCAGGTAAGAGGGGAGGGGTGGAGCATGCAATAGGTTAGTTATTCCTTATCAGGCCCCATTGAATCCCAAGAAAACACAAATGCTTTGCCATCTGTGGTGCAGTCTGTCAGGGAGGTCCCTGAAAGGTCACCTATAGCCAAGAGCAGTGGAGAGAGGGAGGGGACTCCTTCTCAGAACGCCCAGATCCTTGCCAGGCGGTTTCTTAAAGAGGCCAAGTCTCTCTCCTCAAGTGTCACCCTCATTCAGTTCTGGCCCTGTCCCCCCTCATTCAGTTCTGGCCCTGTCCCATTAATGCAGGGTGCCTCCTGGATCCCTTGGCATCCTCAATTGGTGAAGAAGGATGGCATTCGCGCATAAGGGTGGCAAAGAAAGCAAAAACGAGACAGTCCAGTGTCCCATAAGGCCAGTGACAGTGGGGCTACCCTTGTTTCTAAAGGCCCTGCTCTATCTAGAGAGTTCCAGGTAGGGGTGGCTTGAGCACAGGCTGCAGCTGGAGGACATAAGAAGAATTCCTCTTCCCTTTGGCTTCCCCTCTGGTTGCCCAAGAAGAAAGGCAGCAGAGGGCCAAGACCTGTAAAGTGCTGTAGACCTCACCGCAGTCTCTCTGTGGAAGACCTAGAGTTTGGAGCTTAGCCAAGGGCTGGGCACCAAGAAGGGCTAAGGCATGCAGTCCCACTTTGGCTTCAGGAAAACCCAGGCTCAGCTGTGACAGGGTGGTTGAATGGTGCCATCAACCACAATGACAGATGTGGTTCACTCTGGCAGAGCATTGGTTGGAAACAGCCTGGCTCTGTCTCCTGGTGTCTGTGAACTAAGCCAGAAGTGTGTGTGACCTTTCTTCTTAGATTACCGAGTGTACGCAGCAGGCGGGATGGGCCTGGACCTCCGTCCACACAACCACCTCCAGCACTATGACATGCTCAAGGACATGTGGGTGTCACTCGCACCCATGCCTACCCCGAGATATGCTGCCACCTCTTTCCTCCGAGGCTCCAAGATCTACGTGCTGGGTAAGGATGGGTCATCTCCCTTGGGTTGGTTCTCCTGGGAAACTGTGCCCATGGGCTGAGCAGCTCCTTGGCACTGGGTGTGTGGGGGGGTAATCATGTTGCCCCAGGCCTTAGCTAGCCTCTTGGATGAATGGGTGACAGTCAGAAGAAGACCCCAGCCCCTGTCCTCAGGGACTACTCTTCTGCCCACCCCCATCTACCACCCCATATGGCCTCCAGGGGGACGACAGTCCAAGTATGCAGTCAATGCCTTCGAGGTCTTCGACATCGAGACTCGCTCCTGGACCAAGTTCCCCAACATTCCCTGTAAGCGGGCTTTCTCCAGCTTTGTGACCCTGGACAGTCACTTGTACAGCCTGGGAGGCCTTCGGCAGGGTCGGCTCTATCGGCAGCCCAAGTTCCTGCGGACAATGGATGTGTTTGACATGGAACAGGGTGAGCTGAGCGCCAGCCTGCTCCTTGCTCTTGCAGGACTCTGGCTGCTTTCCTCCCTTCCAACTGACCCCTACTGCCCACATCCCACCCTTCTTTCCAGGTCACTTACCCAGCAGGGTGAGCCCTTAACGCAGCACCCAGCACCCAGCACCCGGCCCTTACCCAGTGCCCAGCCCTTACCCAGAACCACTAATGGCTACTCTTGGGGTCAGATTCTTTGATCTGTGCAGGGCTCCCTTTTGCCTGGTTGGTTGTTTTCATCAAAGCCTGTTCTACTTGTTATTTCTTCTTTGAACATTATCCATGCAGGACCAGGCCAGGGAGGGATTTCACCTACATTTTGGGCACCAGGGGCACTCAACACTGAGCCACACCCTCAGCCCAATTTTGTATTTTATTTAGAGACAGGGTCTCACTGAGTTGCTTAGCACCTCGCTTTTCGTGAGGCTGGCTTTGAATTCAGGATCCTTCTACCTCAGCCTCCTGAGCTGCTGGGATTACAGATGTGCACCACTGTGTCTGGCTGGATCTCACCTATTTTTAACTGGTGGAGAAACAGGGGTCCCAATGCTCACCACCTTTATCAGCCTCCTCTCCAGCATAAAGCCTGGGAAAACTGAAGTAGAGCAGAGGATTCATGGTGGGGATCGTGGTCCCTTAGCTTGCAGCAAGATCAGGAGAGGGCAGAGGTCAGAAGATGTCATTTCAAACAGCAAGGGGTGCCATGCACACCCTGAGTATAAGGGTAATGGAAGGGACTCACTGCCCAGGGTAAGAGCCATTTGGGATTTCTCTGTATTTGGTCAGCATCTGATTCCCTCCCTCTATCCTGCCTGTAGGGGGATGGCTGAAGATGGAACGGTCATTCTTTCTTAAGAAACGACGGGCAGACTTCGTGGCTGGTTCTCTGAGTGGACGGGTCATAGTGGCTGGGGGACTTGGTAAGGATGGAGTTCTAGGATGGAAGGCACTGTGGTTCTGGTACTCCTGGATCCTTGGCACTTTGCATAAGTAGCAAAGGGTCTGGCCCTCGCACTGTACCCGCCCGCCACTTTATTCTAAATGATTCAAAACACTCCCCGCCTCCTGGCCTAGACTTCACTTATCAATGTGGTCATTCTGCCTTGCACCAGGGAAACAGGCCCAGAGAGTATAAGGAACACACTGATCACTATGTAACCTAGGCTTGCTGAAGCACAAATCCCTGGGGCCCTATCTGGGAATGACTAGAGACAAAGTCCAGGGGGAATCAGCCTTCATCCTTCTCTGGACTAGCACCAGATATTCAAGGCATTCCTGGAATACCCAGCTCTATTGAAAAAGATCAGATAGAGCTCCATTAGGAAAGAATCCGATCAAATAAATTCTTCTAATGAATTGTGAATTTGGTGTGTTTCCCTCCCAGAGATTATTGATATTTTGAAGGAGGGACTCCAAGAGGAGAAAGTCCAGGGTCGTCAGGGCAGAGAGACACAGGCAGGGGGGTTCCAGGTACCCCACGTTTACTTAGTGTGGACATACTCACACTTTACTCACGCATGAAAGACAGTATAAGCTAGGCCATGGGGTAGCTTTTTTAGTGACGAGCAGGAGGGAGTCAGTAGTGCTCTAGAAACTTGTTGTAAAAACCAGAGTTTGGAGGGCTGGGGATATAGCTCAGTTGGTAGAGTGCTTGCCTTGCATGCACAAGGTCCTGGGTTCAATCCCTAACACACACACACACACACACAAAAAAAAAAAAAAAAAAAAAAACCAGAGGTGGAAAAGAAAGTTTACCCTTAAAGACCTTAAAAGATAGGGAGACGGTAGGTAGGGAGCTACTGGCCCAGGACAGGGAAGAGGGAAGCATCCCATAGCCAGGAAAGTTGAAGTTGCTTGGCTTTTGCTTTTGGGTTCCCAAGGGAGGGAAGAAGAGGCGAGTAACCTCGGGGCATGGACTCTTGGCAGCCGGACTCTTTTGTAAGATCTGATTCCCTTGGTGTTTTCAGGAAACCAACCCACTGTCCTGGAGACCGCAGAAGCATTCCACCCAGGGAAGAACAAGTGGGAGGTCCTCCCTCCCATGCCCACGCCCCGCTGTGCCTGCTCCAGCATCACCATCAAGAATTGCCTCCTGGCTGTAGGGGGTGTCAACCAGGGTCTGAGTGACGCAGTGGAAGCCCTGTGTGTCTCTGACTCCTAGCTGTCCTGGGCCCAACAGCTTTGCCTGGGATTGTATCACTCCACTGTCTACACGAGGAGAGGAAAGGTCTTGTCAGAGCCGTTTGGGCTACTTCCCAGGATGCCAGCTATTGTTCTTTCCCCAGCTCTGGACTAGTTTTGAGGGTCTCTTAGGATAAAAGATGGAGAAGGATGGGGGTGGGGGTCTCAAACCTTTTTTTTTTTTTTTTTGACCAGGAATTGAACTCAGGGGCACTTACCCACTGAGACAAATCTCCAGTCCCTTTTTATGTTTATTTTGAGACAGGGTCTCCCTAAGTTGCTTAGGGCCTCGCTAAGTTGCTGAAGCTGGTTTTGAACTTTCAGCTCTCCTGTCTTCATCTCCGAGGCTGCTGGGGTGACAGACATGGGCCACCATGCCCAGCCTCAAACCTCTTATTTCTCCTTTGGTTTACATCCTTTCCTTATTTGTTCATCAATTTGACCTTCCCTGGACCTCATTAGATCAGCAAGAATTGGCCTCAAAGCTCGGGAAAGGAGGGTGGGGGCTCATATTCCCAGTCCAGGCCAGCAGCCCCTGCAGGAAGGATCCTTCCTCTCAGGATCCTTGCTGCAGGTGTGATGATGGGGAAGGAGAAAACACTGAGCCCTGTGTCTGCTCTGAGCCCCCATCTCCTCTCTGCATTTTTCCTTCTGCCCTCCTCCCTCCAGAGGCCTGGCTCTTTTCTCCCTGATGCCCCCAGAGTGTTTCTGTGTGAAACTTTCTCATTTACACTGTGGCATCAAAATCCACAAAAGATGGATTTCTTGCACTCTGATTAATCACAGCAGCACAATGATTAAAATCTATATTCCTATCTTCTTTGGTACCCTGCTACAGAGTTTGGGGAAAGGGAATCCTGATGGGTGGAGAAGATCCCATGAGACCAATCCACTGGTGTTCTCGGGCTGAATAGGGTCCCAAGGGGCCACCTATTCTTGACTTTTCCCTCTGAAGAATTCCACCTTCCCATAAGCGCCACCAGCTGCCCCACTCCCAGAAAAACAGCAGATTGTTCTCTTCTTGTACTGAAACGTCATGCATGTGTTGGGCAAAAGTTCTGTTTGTCAGGTTTCTCCTTCTTGGGTCTCACTTCACTTTATTTAGCTGAAGCTCTATTTTTTTGGTCTTATCCAGTGTAGAGAGGGAACTGCTTACTGATTTGAAGGAAGGAAGGAAGGAAGGAGAAAGACTTGAAGAGCATGCCTCCTTTTAGCTTGCATAGCACCTCTTTGTGATTCCCAATTCTTTTTAAAAAGCTGTGCTGATTTGAGATGTAGCTCAGTGGTAAGGTGCTTGCCTAGCATGTGCAATGTCCTGGGTTCCATCCGGGGATGGGGGTGGGGTGAGGAAGGCCTGAGCTGGCACTGGGGATGCAAAAATGAATATGAATCCCTAAGGGCTGTGGAAGAGTCAGGTAACACTCCTCCCCTGATGAAATAATCATCTCTTGGAGGCAAGGACAGAGGAGTTTCATCTATATGGATCTGAGAGGTCAGAGGCAGCCTCCTTGTGTCAGGGTAACAACTTCAACTGGATAGGGTTAGTGAACCCGGGTCTTTGAGGGATAGGGATTCTTACCAGGATTTAAGGGTACTGCCACCTGCTGGCCCAGCATTTCCTTCCCACCCAGGATGGGCGGCATCCTGTGGCTGTGGGTGCCCCCTAGTGAGCAGACTGCAGAGAGGCCTTCTCTGGTTGCTCTGACTCCCATATTTCCCCTGAATTAACCATTAGCAAAAGGTCCTGGAGAAGCTGCAGATACTACAAAGGAAGGGACAGTACCTAAGGAGAAGCTGCCCCAAAGGCCAGCCCTGATACAGCCTCTCCATTCCCTTTCCGTTTCTGCCTTGTGCCTCACACCCTCCCCAATCCCCTACCCAGGAAAGGTGTTCTCAAATGGGTGCTTCCACCCTTTTCAAGAGGAGGCCAAGCCTTATATGAAAAGCTCTTTCCTAGTGTACAAAATGACCCCATGTCCGTGGATGGGGCAGAAGTGTTTTAGAATAGTTAGAAACTCAGGGCTACAGCCAGCTCGAAAAGATTGAATTAGCCACTGAAACTTGAAAGGGCAGCTGAAAGTCAGAGATGTTACCTGCTAAGGACTCACCTCTCAGAAGTCCATTGTGGGGAGACTGTGAGGATACCTCACTGAAGAGTGAGGGAAATACAGAACATCAGTGTTCGGCCAGGTGGGTCTGTACCTGGGGGCACCACAGAGGCAGCACGGGATCTGGGGCTGATGGCTTTGTCCAGGTCTAATTTGCCCAACCCCTGCAGGCTTTCCCAGCACCTCCACACTATGGAAAGGTCATTCAGCTTTCTTGTCTTTAGTTACCAGTCTATAAAACAAGAGCAATGGTGATGCTGTCCCACAACGAGGTAAGGCACCTGTCTCGATCCTCAGATTAGCTCGGAGGCAGATAGAATCCTCCCATTTCACAGATGAGAAAACCAGGAATTAAAGAGATTATTTAAATTGTCCAGGGTCACAAGCTAGTAAGTGTCTGAACTAGGTCTGATTCCAAACCTTGTGGCCAACGCACTGATTGCTTCAGATGAGCACTAATCCTTGGGAAGACAAGATCATGCTGTACCTTGGTAAGGAGCTCCAGTCAACCAGGAAGGAATGAGGGTGAGGGTTAGCTAGGAAAGGTTGGAAAGGGCTCTGTAATGTGAAAAGACCATAGAATATTCCTAAATTTTTATCCCTGGGAAAGTTCCTGTCTACCTTTTTTGTTCCATTGGCTGTTCCAAACCATCATTGACCAGTAATACCTGTTTCCAGCTTGGCATGGTGCTAGGTTTGAGATCTCAAACCTAGTCTTGGGAGGGAGACAGGGAACCAAGGCTGCAGAGACTATTTGCTGGTGTCAACCTTTGCTAGTGTAACTAGAGGCACCCTGAGCAGCTGCAGAGAGCCAGGGCCAGTTACTGGACAATAACCTTTGAAAGAAGAGGGAGGCCAGCCAGGTAGAAGAGGCAGATCATAGGCTTTGTAGCAAGAGCAAGGTTCACGGTATGATTATGATGCACAAATTGGCCTCAGGTACCTTGTTTAACCTGAGTCTTTTTCCTTATTTGTAAATTGGGCCAAATAAGACCTTGTTACGAGGCTAAGAGCTCACGCTCACACACACACACACACACACACACACATATAATGATTTGCTCTGTTAGGTGAGCGTTGCATTGTTATTTTGTTGTTGAAGGACAGGTAGAGGTTTTCTCAAGGCCACCAAGTCCCCGTGGGGTGGCATGCACTAATATTCCCAGCTACTTCGGAGGCTGAGGCAGGAGGATCACTTGAGCCCAGGCATTTAATGCCCACCTGGGCAACATCTCAAAAATAAAAATAGGTAAAAGAAATCAAGACCAACAAGGGAAAGAGCTTGCCTTATCTTGGTGACAGTACACAGTGGACAATGTAGAGAGGCTGTGGGGAGATGGGGGTGCAAGCACAGGTAAGAAAATCAAGAAAGGCCTTACTTTGTGCCTTGCTGAGGCCACTGGACTTTATACATAGGGAAAGTTAAGGGCAAATTAAGGTTTTTTTTTTTTTTTAAATTATACAGATATGAATTTGAATTCTAATTTTAGTACCTTGCTATTTTTTTAATATTTATTTTTTTAGATGTAGATGGACACAACACAATGCCTTTATTTTTTTAGAGAGAGAGAGAGAATTTAATATTTTTTTTTTTTTTTAGTTTTCGGCGGACACAACATCTTTGTTTGTATGTGGTGCTGAGGATCGAACCCGGGCCGCACACATGCCAGGCGAGCGTGCTACCGCTTGAACCACATCCCCAGTCCAAAATTAAGGTTTAAGTGAGAGGCAGCACCATCAGATTTGTACCATGTAGCATGGGGTATTCCGAACTCCTCTTCTGAGCAAAATGAAGTAGGTGACATCACTAAGACACCATCTAGGGTCAGAAGGAGCCCCACTTGGTTATAGTCCTGGTACAATATGCAGGCCAGCCCTCCAGGCCTTCTCCTGAGCAAGGTCCATTCCACTGAGCAATCAGAGAGTCCCGTGAGGGAGTAGACTAGCCCATGCCCTCCAGCCCTTTATTTCCTCCAAGGTTTTCTTTCTAACAATGTTTTGCATTGGCATTGGCCCCCAGAGCTCCTGCACAGGAAGTGGGGTATGGCTGGTCTTTCCCAACCCCCACTTTACAGAAGAAGAAAGAGAACTAGGAACACTGAATACCTAAGCTAGATGACACAGCTAATAAGTACTAGGAATGAAAATCCAACCCAGCTCAGTGAGAAACTCCCCAATCACCTCCTCCAGCACCAGAACACTGCTTTCTCTGAGCTCTGCTGTATGGAGAACAGCAAAGGAGGTCAGTGTATGTGTCCACACATGTGACTGCAGAACAGGCCAAGGCCTGAGCCAAAGGCTCAGAGGACTTGAGCTGTGACCTCAGTGAGCCCAAACATTAGCATGGGCAGAAGAGACTGATGGCACAAGGCAAGTCTCAGGCAAGAATCAAAGTGGGGAGCACACGGAAGGACTCTGGCACTTTGGGCAGATAACTGTACCAGAGATATTCATTTCCTGGGGCTTCCCTAACAAAATACCACAATACCACAGAAATAAGTTTTCTGCTTAAAAAACACAAAACAAAAAAACCCAGAAACTTATTGTGTCACACTTCTAGAATCTAGAAGTCTGAAGTCAAGGTGTCAGAAGGACCAAGTTCCCTCTAAAGGCTCTTTGGGGAAGGTGGGGTAGAGCTAGAGAGGGACACATCTCTCCTTGCCTCTCCCTAGCTCCTGGCAGAGGCTGGCAATTCTTGGTGTTTCTGGGCTTGTCCCCGTGTGTCTGTGTTCAGGTTTTCTTCATCTTTTTTTTTTTTAATATTTATTTTTTAGTTTCCGGCAGACACAACATCTTTGTTTGTATGTGGTGCTGAGGATCAAACCCGGGCCGCACGCATGCCAGGCGAGCGCGCTACCGCTTGAGCCACATCCCCAGCCCCAGGTTTTCTTCATCTTATAAGGATACTAGTTTGTTTTATTTTGAGTATCAGGGATTGAACCCAGGAGCGCTTGACCACTGAGCCACTTCCCCAGCCCTTTTTATTTTTTTTATTTTGAGACAGGGTCTTGCCAAGTTGCTTAAAGCCTGAGGCTGGCTTTGAACATGTGATCCTCCTGCCTCAGCCTCCCAAGTCACTGAGATTACAGACATGTTCCACCAAGGCTGGCCAGAACATTAATCTTTGGATTGAGGCCCACCCTAATCCAGTATGATCTCATTTTAGGCCAGTTGTTCTGCAGGGATCCTGTTTCCAAATAAAGTCAGTCATAGGGACCAGAGGTCAGGACCTCACATGTCATTTTTGAAGGATGCAATAAACCCAAACCACCCTTGGTAAGAGAAAGAGTCCAGAAGGACTGAGCTCCCAGGAGGGGCTTGGGGTTACAACTGGGCCTCAGGGGAAGGGAGACAGGGAGCCTAAACCCAGTAAGGGGAGAAGAGAGATCAGAAGGCTTGCTGGACTCTGGGTTGGTCTTGAATGACAGCAGAAGCTTCATAGGGACAGACCAACCTAGGTGTCATTAGGTTGTTTTGGCAATGCTGCTCAACCCCCAAATCTCCCCATCCACAGAGAAACTAGTGACGGGGAGAAAAGGTCCCTGGGAAGATGGGAACAGCCAGCTAGCTGTAAGGACAAAATGTCTTTAGTGTCCCATATTAACTCCACATGGGCTATGACTCCCTTTGTTTTAAGGTTTAAACTGTGAGCCACTTTTCCAAGCACTCTGACTCATTTGAGCTCTGCAGGCAGTTGTGTACCTGGTTCAAA